ATAATCAATGTAATGAAACAAGCTATATGAATGGTTGAATGTGAAGCTGATGATGTGCCCTGTAAACTTTCACTCAATCCAAAATAAAAACATTTAATAATTAAAAAAAAAAAAGTACCTAGATTTCTAAGGTTTCTTCATCCTATCAAAAAACAAAAACAGACTTAGGTCTTCATGGATCTGGAACAGGGATCTGAAAACTTTTTCTGCAAAAGGTCAGACAGTAAATATTTTAGGCATTGTGGTTCAACCAGTCTCTGTTGTAACTATTCAAATCTTTAGTTGAAACCAACCAGAGACATTACATAAACAGGCCTGACTGCTTCAATAAGACTTATTTGCAAAAACAGGTGTAGACCAGATTTGGCCCAAAGGCCATAATTTGCTTACCCATGAGCTAAAGCAGGGGTGAGGAACCTTGTTTCTGCCAAGGGCCATTTGGATATATATAACATCATTCACAGGCCATACAAAATTACTAACTTAAAAATTAGCCTGTGGCACTATGAAATAAAGCACTGGACCACAAGGTCAGTTTGGACCACAAGGTCAGTGGTTCAAACTCACCAGCCGCTTCTCAGAAACCCAATACAGGGTCAGGTCACTATAAGTCTGAACTGACTCGACGGTACTTAACAACAATGTGATGACTTGGTGGCACACAACCACCAACGTGATAGCTGGAACTGCAGTTGCCTTGGAAGGGCCACACAATATGATTTCCTTATGGCCTTATGGACTGAGGGCTGGATGGAATGTTCCCACCCTTGGTCTAAAGGATAAAATAATGACCCATGGGCAGAATTGAAGATGTAGCAGATTTTGGCTCAACAGAAAACATTCATCACCAATTAGAAGCAATCACAAATGGAATGTACAGCCACTTCAGCGGATTCCAAGCTTCCCTGAGGAAGTCCAAGCTATGCTGACTTATGTAGGACCTCAGTACAGGAATTTCATACAACAGACAAAAGCTGATCTGTATGGCTACTCCAAGGTTGTCTTCAGCTGAACTTTACTGTGGCGAGTCCTGACCCAAATAATACTACAAATTATACAACAACTTACCAAACATGAGAAAATTGATCTAGGCCCATCAAGGAATGTTCAGGATTATTAAAGATGCTCTTTCTAATCCTCAAACAAGCCCGAGAAAGGCTACAAATGGATGGCTGCCTTGGAGTACCATTCTTGGCTGTGAAACACGATTCCAAGTAACCAATTGGCTCCGTTAATAGATTCCCTAAGAAAAAAATTTGGCAAGAAATTTTTAGTCAAAACATCAAACAAAATCTAGAAACATGGTTTCTTGAATGTAATGATTTCATAGTTTTTTTATCTACCAAGTGCTATGCAAATATAAAAAATGTTCTTAGAGTATTAAGAATACATATGAATGTCATTACAGATACAAGTGGTGCTGTAGGATAAGCACTAGACCACAAGGTCAGTTTGAACTACAAGGTCAGTGGTTCAAACTCACCAGCCACTCCTTGGAAACCCTATACGAGGCTGCTATGAATGGGAACCAATTTGACAGCACTTAACAACAACAACAACAGATTGAGAGTGGGGAACCTTGTTTTCTGCCAAAATGTAAACCATCACTCTCGGGTAATATAAAATTATCAACTATATAGCCTGCTATATTGGGTCAAACATTAAATAACTCACCCCTAATGTGATGGCTGGAGTCCTGGTGTGGCACTGTGGGGTAATGCACCAGACTGCAAAACTGTTTGAACTGCACGGTTGGCAGTTCAAGCTCACCAGCAACTTCTCAGAAACCCTATACAGGGCTGCTATGGGTCAGAACCGACTCAAAGACACTTAACAACAACAACAACGTGATAACTGGAGTCCTGGTGTGGCACTAAGAGTTAATGTGCTGGACTGCAAGGTTGGTTTGAACCATAGGTTGGTGGTTCAAGCTCACCAGTTGCTCCTCAGAAACCCTATACAGGGTAGCTATGAGTCACAATTGACTTGACAGTACTTACAACAACAAAGTGATGACTGGAACGGCAGTTGCCTGGGCAGGGCAGACGAAATGATTTCACTGGCCTTATGGCTTGAGGGCTGGACATCCCCACCCCTGCTTTAGATGATAGCCTGGAGTCCTGGTGTGACACTCTAGGATAAGACTGAACTGCAAGGTCAGTGTGAACCACATGATCACTGGTTCAAACTCATCAGCTGCTCCTCAGAAACCCTTTACAAGGTCGCTATGAGTCACAACTGACTTGATAGCACTTAACAACACAGATGATAGCCTGGAAAGAGAACTTGTCTAAGAAAGAAAAAAATGAATAAAAGTAAGTAGGGAATCTAAAAATACACGGCACTGAAGGACAAGCACTGGACTGCTAACCACAAGGTCAGCATTCAAACCTACCAACCACTCTCAGAAACCCTGTACAGGGCCACTATGAGTAGGAACCGACTGGACAGTACGTAACAACATTATGACTACAAAAGGAGCCCTGGTACTGCAGTGGGCTAAGCACTAGCTGCTAATCATAGGGTTGGCTGTTCAAACCCATTCACAGCTTCATGGAACACTATAAAGATTCAGTCTCAGAAACTCCATGGAGCCAATTCTACTATGTCCTATAGGGTTGCCCTGAGTTAGACTAGACTCAACGGCAGTGGGCCAGGATATTCTAGCTGGCATACATAGAGATTTTGTTTCAAGAACTTTCATTTAGAACAATGAAAATTGACAAACACTAACGCCCATCAACAGCTGCTGCTGCGGCTATGTGCCATCAAGTTGATTCCAACTCATAGGGACCCTAGATAGAGTTCCTGAGGCTGCAAATCTTTACTGGAACAGACAGCCTAATCTTTCATCCAAAGAGTGGCTAGTGGATTCGAACTGCTGACCTGCCGTGCAGTGCGTAACCCAGTATGCTACCAGGGCTCCTTGCCCATCAATACAGAACTAGTTAAGTAAGTTAAAAAACATCTCTAAAACAAAATGGCAATCAACCCTCAAAAGTAAACATTGTTAATTGCCGTGGGTTTTCATGAAGTTTAATAATATACATTCTTAAAACAAGCTATAAAAATGAGTGCTATCAAGTAATATCAGGAAACATGATTACAGAAAGCTTGTATGCTGGTCTTCAGCCTATTACTGACTGGAATACCTAAAATGGGTTCTAGAACTTGCCCAGTCAAAGAGGCTTCTTGCAGAGCCTTTGTAGTGTATAAAACCTTAGGTGGAATCCTGAGACCCATCCAGAACCTTCTGAGGTGGGACATTCTCACTAGAAAGGATAAGCAGACAGACCAGCCTGGACCAGCTAGAACAGCAACAGAAGATACTTCTTGAAAGACTAGCAGGAAAAATCCAGAACAAAAATGGCAGTCTGATTAGCTACTATAAGAACAAGCAAGTTGTTTGCCAGGAGCCATCAAGGCAAGCAATCAAGTCCCATCAGGGCCACCCCCCCTCCTCCAAAACTGAAACTCAAATGAAACACACGAGCAAGCATGTAAGCTTGCTGGTGACCATGTTGGTATACTGGTGAGTGGAAGAGGGAGAAAGGCATCAATGAAGAATTGGGCTGAATTCATCCATGTTCCATAGACTCCTGTTGACGTGAAGATGAGAGAGATAAGAGGAAGGGCTGGTTGGTCCAAAGTGTAGTGAGACCCGGGCACACCTAAGCCCATGAACAAGGACATACATGTGGAGGGCTACAGTTGAGAGCGAAGCATCCAGTTGATATGAAGTGAGGAAAACTGCACAAGAACACCCAAACTTGCAGATAGTATCCACTTGACCTAGCCTCAATGGCTTGATGATCAGAACTTGACTATAGAAAGATTAAAAAAAATTATGGATAAAGGAAACAAATGTAAATTGCTAAAATTTGATAAGCTTGACCTATACTTATGGATGTGTTGTTGTTGTTGTTGTTGTTAAATGCCATCAAGTCGATTCTGACCCATAGCAACCCTGTATAGGTGTTGCGGACCGTGTAAGACTGGTCAGAGGTTCGAGGCCCTCTAGGGCCGAGTGTAACAAATGAGGCCACTGGCAGTTAATGGCAAATTGCTTTCATTTTAATATTCAGTTATATATATTAAATTAATACACGGAGCCTTTGAAAATTCACAGATAAATGTGATATTTTCCTAAAGCCGAGACTAAAGGTTGCAAGGTTAAACCTTTCTCCAAAGGATTAACTAAAAATATTTTAGCTACTTCACGGTTCTTTGTTCTATAGACAAAGAACCCATCCTCCCTAATCCCTTTTCCAGGTGCAGCCCATTCACCTGGGCGCCTCCTGTAGAACTCTCACCTTCCCCCAACTGAGTTCAGGGGCTATAGATATGTTAATTGGGCCTGAGAATCCAAGTTGCTGGCCTGGGATTTGAACCAGCGAAATATGATGTAAAGTTACCTGAATGTCTGGAAAAGTACTGATGTTAGCTGTACCGTGCCTAAGTCCCTCCCAGCTTGGTGTGAAACTCCTCCCCTAAATAAAGCAGAGGCCCGAGCCTCCCCAGGTGTGCATTACGGGTTGGAAGGCATGCAGTAAAGATTGCAGGGCAGTGAGTTGCTGCCTGCAGAGGCCATGATGCCTGTAGTCCCAAGCCTGCCCACCAGTGATGTATCCACCTTGGTTTCAGGGTGCCTCCTTGTCTGTCTCCTTCTGTCTGTCTGTGTATTCTTTTGCTATATCTATCACCGCTGGATCTCCCCTCCTCGTGAACCAAACACTCGTGAACAACACAATTATGTCGAGGGCAGACCCCGGCATATAGGGTTTCCAAGGAGCAGCTGGTGAGACTTTGCAGTCTGACGCATTAGCCCACAGTACCACACCAGGACTCTACTTATGGATGTAGTAGCTCAAAACACCAACTGAGAGGGAAGGAGTCTTCACATCAAGTATTAATCCTATCCCCTCCGTATACAGGGTTGAAAGGGACGGGCAACTTAAGACACTGGCTACCTAAAATGAGAGGGCAATAAAGGCACAAAGTGACTGGCTTACAAATTTTCAAGAGGGAGTTTAGTTTAAGAGTGTGTGGGGAAAGGTAGCGTCACCATCGAATAGTTTTCATCTTATCTAGACAGGTCTGGTGAAAAGAGATGGGGATAAGATTCTTGATTCAACAGTGAGAAATTGTTACCATGACTAAGTGCAACTGTCACAACTGTAAAAGTAGAAGTTTTGTAACAAAAACAGGGGAGCAGTTAATTTTATAGTCCAGGAACAGAGAACCCTAGGACCATCAAGGGAGAAGAGCACGAGCGGAATGTGGGACCCTATCCAGAGAGGCAGTGATACCAGAGATGGAGGCAGAGATGAGGAAATGAGAGAGCAGCTAAGGACTCTATGGAAAGAGAAAGACTGAGTGCTAGCGGCTAGGAGGCAGGCTTACAGAATGTGCCCTTTGCTTGTACATTATTATATATTTCTGAGTGCTTTTGTGTACATCCCTCCCCTCCCTCTGCAAAACAAAAACAGAGAATGGAAGCAAATACTGTTGAATGATACACAGATTGTAATCATTGCCATGAAACGAGTGTAAAACCCATGTAAACTATCAGTAAGTTCACAAAAACCTTTAAAAAATAAAAAGTGAGCAGTATCATTTTTATTTTTCTAGTGTGTACAAAACTGAAACAAGAATGGAAGGCAAATATTAAGATATTAAGAGGCATTCACTGGGTGATGGCAGGCCATTTTAATTTTCTTTTACTTCCTCTAGTTTTTGAAATGAACATATTCCTCTCAATGTCCACTATATTATAGCTGCTCTCCAGGTGCTTCAGACAGCAAGCATTCAGAGCAGAACTGCTCCAGGGTATTATTCTGAGTGGATTTCAACCACCAACATTCCAACTCACTGTAGAGTACTTAACCCTCTGTACCACCCAGACACTACAATCCTTTCTGCATGTTGGTGTTATATGCCATGGAGTCAGTTCTGACTCACGGAAATCCTTTAAGAGTAGTACTGTCCCACAGGATTTCCAAGGTTGTAAATCTTATATGCGCATGCAGCGGCTCCATATGATAAGCACTGTACTGCCAACTACAGGGTTGGCAGTTCGAGCCCGCTAGCCATCCATGAGAACAATGAGGATTTCCGCTCCCAATGTAAACCCTACAGAGGATGCAATGAATCAGAACCGACTCGACAGCACTAAACAAATCTTATGGACAAAGACTGCCACATATTTCTCCCTGCAGAGTGGGTTCAAACCACTGACTTTTCGGTTACCAGCACTTAACCACTGTGCCTCACACTCATCTTTGCACGCCCAACTTAAAACTGTTCCCTCCCTCAAAACTTTCCTCCTTCTCCCTCATTCCCCACAACACTGGACATCCCCCGCTCCATGACATGGAGTAGTTCCAAAAGGGATGAGGCTGTCTGTTCCAGTAGAGATTTAGTCTCTCTGGGAAACCTTAAGTATTAGTTCTACTCCGTCCCATAGTGTTGCTATGAGTTGGGATCGATTGGACAGCGGTGGATTTGTTTCTTGGTTTACCCAGCATGGAACTTACAGGTGTCCCCTCTCTCCAATAGGAGGCCCTATCCATTGCCATGGAATGACTATAACACATTAAGACCCTGAAGGATACAGTAGAACGGCCCCACTGGGTTCCCACAGCTGTAATCTTTATGGAAACTGATTGCCTCATCTTTCTACTGCAGAGTGGCTGGTTGACTCAAACAGCCAAGACCATGGAACAGTAGCAGCCAAAAGAACATTCTGGCTGACGTCATTCCACTGGCCTCAGGACATCACGTGGTCAGCTGAGCACATGACGCGCGCCTTCGCAGTAGTAAGCCAAGCCAAGTCACGTAGGAACATTTAAGATTTAGTAACTCATTTCCCTTTCTGTAATGAAGTCGGCTGTGTGAACCTAAATTCCTTCTGAGTATGGTATCGTCAGTCTCTTAGAAGTTACCTGTCTCCAGGGCGGGCTTCACACACCCGCACGGGGTCGCTGTGGGCCGAGGCCCTGTCTCCTCCAAGGCGCGCATGATCCCTCAGACTCGGCAAACCTTCCACTTCCGTGATTCATGACTTGGCGCCTGCGCAGTAGTCGCGTCGGCTGGCTCGCGCGGGCCCCTGGGTTGGACCAGCTCACTGGAATGGGGGTGTTTGCTATCCGCGGCCCTGAAACGTGCGCGCGCTTTAATGGGTCGCGGGTTGGCGGTTTCTGTTGGTTCGGTTCTCAGGGTCTCCTGGCTCGGCTCCTGCGGTTGACCGGCTCGGCCCAGGCAGTAGCGTCACCAAGTTCTGGGCTCTTTGAGAGTGAACGCACCGATGAAGAATTCCGCATAAGGATGTCTCTCGAAGCATTGTTAATAAGCAAAACATTGGAAGCAATCTACATATCTAAGTAATAATCCTAATTATTTTTAAGTGTGTATGCAGCAGCCCTGCCTTGGTGTGGCGCCTCAGAATAATGCGCTGGAACGCAAGGTCTGTTTGAACTGCAAGGTCGGCGGTTCAAACGCACCAGTCGTCCCTCGAAACCCTATACAGGGTCTCTGTAAATTGGAAGCAACAACATAATACGGTGGACACACACCTTTCCTGATTTAAACCTTTCAGTATCCCCTTGTTCTCCAGGCAGCTGTCTTTCAAAGTTCTTGGCATAGATGAATAAGCACCTTTACCTTACTTTAAAACAAGAGTAGAACTTCCCCATAGCGTTTCCAAGACTGTAAATCTTTTAAGATTGCAGACTGCCACGTGTTTCTCCAATGGAGCAGTTAGTGTGTTCCAACACCCAATAATTCGGTAACGACCAGGGCTCCTTTGGGGTTGTACTCATTTACACGTTCCCAACAGTGGTTCCACAGGAGAAAGATACGGCTGTTTCTGGAGCTCTGCTGAAGCAAAGGGTTTGATTTTTTATATAAATACATGTTGTGAAACGGAGTCCAAAAGCTGCACTTGGCACTAGATGGTGTTTCTGAAAGTGATGTTTAGTGCCATCGAGTTGGTTCTGACTCAGCAACCCTCCTGGCAAAGCATTTCCAAGTCTATAAATCTTTAGTGGCTCAGGAAGCCTCATCTTTCTCCAGCGAAGCGGTTGGTGGGCTCAAACCACAGACCTCATGGTTCACAGTTCAGTGCTTATATAACGTATGGAGCCACTGAGCTCCCTTTGATAATAGTGAGATTTCCCTTAATTTGTGGAAAGAAGAATGTTATGAAAGATGAGTTGGTATTTGCCTTCCTGGCCTTAAAGACTTAGAGGGTAAACATTAGATAATCAAACACACAATAACACATAATTACAAATATGAGAAATACTGAAATGCAAAAGTAACTTGAAGGCATTGATGGAGATTCCTACCTCTACCAGATCAAATTGCTCTTTACTAAAAAGAATTTTAATGAACTATGTAGTACATTTTATTTAGATAAACTGTATGATTTGAAGCTTTTGTTATCCTGTCTAGAATAATATCTTATTTCTAATTTATAAGACTTAACGTCTCTGGAAGTTGTTGCATCAGTTTGGACTCATAGCAACCCTGGGTAGGATTTCCAAGGAGTGGCTGGTGGATTTGAACTGCCAACCTTGCCGTTAGGAGACCAGTGCTTATTAAGCACCATACCAAGTCTCTGGAGATAGGGTTTAGGAATCTTCCGTAATAAAACAGCATAATTGATTCTGAAACAGGAGATCATCAGTCTACACTTTGAGAAATAACTTCTCAGCAGAGTGATTCTTAGCCACAACTCCTTTGGGTGAAGGACACCTTTGAGAATTGATGATAGCTCTGAACCTTCTCATCATTTTATGTTTATTACCAGAGAGGCTATGAACTGTTAAGAACAACCATTGTATCTACCTTGGAAGAAGAGCCACACAAAGTAGGGTTAGATGGATTTGTGAAAACTTTAATTCTGACTGACCTCAAGATTCTAAGTCAGGATGAAAACTGGGACATTATTCAATGCACAGTGGTTTTCCAATGAGGATAATAAGCAGAGATTGTATGTATAAAGTAGCAGTGTAAGAGAGCAGGTAGAATTCTAAAAGGTAGAAAGACATCTCTCTTGCCCTAATGTACTGCATTCCTCTTGCCATGTATTTCCCTCTTTTACTTGTCTACTCCTGTACACGGTACAGAGGCAAATACTGTTTCATCTTAATGAAACCTTGAGATTTCAATTTACTCTTTTCCCTCTTATCTTTACTCACTTGGTGGTGGTGTGCCATGGAGTCGGTTCCAACTCATAGTGAGTAACCCTGCATAGGGTTTCGAGGCAATAAATCTTTACAAGAACAGCAAGCCTCATCTTTCTCCCGAGTTTTGAAATACTGAACTTGACGTTAGCAGCCCAACTGGAAGCCACTACACTACCAGAGCTCCGATTTACTCACTTAGGCAAATGAAATTGAGATAGAAGAACCATTCCTAAAAGGAAACTTGGTGCTGAGGCATCAGATATGACTTTCAGTGAGTGTTTGGCCTCACTGGTTTCTCTAAGGGTATTCCCTCATCCATAAAATGGGTATGGTAATCACCACACCCCCCCCTGATTTCACAGACTTTTTGATTCCAGGACACCCCCACTGCTCCACCTCCATAGAATCCAAGGATGCTCAATCCCTTATATACATAATGAGATAATGGCAGAGTGTTTACATATAATCTATGCACATTCTCCCACACACTTTAAATCCTTTCTAGATGCCTTATAATACCTAATACAATGTGAATGTGATGCAAATAGCACTTAATGCTCCCTCTTAGCCTTTGAAGGATTGCTTTGACTGCTTGATTGCTATCTCCCCCTCCCCCATCATTTTCCATCCAAGATTGCTTGAATCCAGATGTGAAAGCCTGGGAGATGAGGTTTATCTATGTATAGTCTGAAGTACTATCCAGATGTAAGGGATAATGAATGTTATTTGAGTAATACAATAGAGAAGGAGTAATGATTGTACAATGAATAGACCCCTAGGTGGAAAAATTGTTTGGAGAAGAAAAAAGAAACATTGTAACCAGTGTTTCTCAACCCTTTGAACTGCTGAATAGGAGGTTCAAGCTCACCAGCTTCTCGGAAACCCTATACAGGGTGGCTATGGGTCAGAACGGACTTGATGGCACTTAACAACAACAATTGTGCTGTAGGAAAAGTGCTGCTAACCAGAAGGTTAACTGATAACCATAAGGTCAACAGTTCAAACCCACCAGTCACACTTGGTGAGAAAGATGAGACTTTCTGCTCCTGTAAAGTGTTACAGCCCTGGAAACCTTATACAGGGTCCCTTATGAGTCAGAATCATCTTGATGGCAGTGGTTTTGGGGTTTGTTTAACTGCATATTTGAATCACCTGGAGAGCTTTTTAATTCGACTCCATTGCCTTCCAATTCTGAGTCATAACAGACCTAAAGAGCAGAGTTGTAATCTTTCTCCCATGGAACAGCTGATAGTTTTGAACTGCTGACCGTGAGATTAGCAGTCCAATTCGTAACCACTACATTGTTGTTGTTGTGAAGTGCCGTTGAGTCATAGCAACCCTGTATAGGGTTTCCGAGGAGCAGCTGGTGAGCTTGAACTGCTGACCTTGCAGTTCAAACGGTTTTGCAGTCTGCCGTATTAACCTACAGCGCCTTACCAGGACGCCTATGTACCACTACATGGAACTGCCCAATAAGGTTTCCAGGGCTTTAAACCTTTATGAAGCAGACTGCCATCTTTCTCCTGCAGAGCGGCTAGTGGGTTTGGACTGCTGACCTTTTGATTAGTAACTGAGCACTTTAACCACATCATCACCAAGCTCATTTTAAACTAAAAATACCCCTAAATGTAACTAGGTATCCTGGTATCCTGGATTATGCCCTAAAGAATTAAAAGACTTTAATGGAAAAACTGTTGTTATATTGTTAACTGTGGTTGAGGCAGTTCCAACTCATAGTGATCCTGTGTAGGGTTTCCAAGGAGCAACTGGTGGGTTTGAACCACCAACATTGCAGTTAGCAGTCCAGTGCTTATCTTACAGCGAGCGCCACACCAGGACTCCAGTAGAAAAGCTAATGAAATGAAAATAAAGTCTGTAGTCCAGTTAATGGTAATCTTAACGTCTTAGTTTTGACGAATGGACCATGGAAGGTGCTAACATTAATCTCATTAGGTTAAACACTTTCTGTACTGTGGCTATGGATTGAACTGTGTGAACACACTCCACCTGCAAAATATGTATATGCCACCTTAACTGGGCCAGGATTCTCAGCATCATGAAATTATCCTCTATTTGTGATCTGATGCAATTATCTTATGTGTTGTAAATACATTCTCACCTCTACAATCGATGTTAATGATGCAGGATTAGAAACAGTTAACCAGTAAATTGAGATCTTGAACCAATCAATCCCTTTTGAGATATAAAAGGGATTAAACAAACCAGCAGAGATGACAGGGCCCTCCTACCACCAGGAAAGAGCTGGGAGTGGGATTTGTTTCTTATGGATCCAGGGTTTTTGCACTGTGAATTTCCTAGATCTAGGGACAGATTGATGCCAAAACACATGGGTCTCCAAGGGATGCCAAGCCCCCCAGATGTTAAAAGAGATATGGACCTTCCACTAGACCTGACGGAGGGAGAAAGCCTTCCGCTAGAGCCGGCACTCTGAATTCAAGAAGTCTAGCCTCCTAAACTCTGAGAGAATAAATTTCTGTTTGCTAAAGCCATCCACTCATGGTATTTCTGTTGCATATAGCAGCACTAGGTCATTAGACAACTATCTTTGCAACATTTCTATTCTAAAGTTACTCCCCCAAAAAAGATTATTTAAAGCAAAAATAATTTAAAAATAAATATACCTATATCTGATCCCACACCCTAGACCATTGAATCAGAATCCCTTGGGGGAGGGGGCAATCTAAGCATCTGCATTTTTAAATCTTCTCCAGTGTTTCTAATGCCTCAGGAGCAGTAAAAACAATTGCCCTGCACCAGAAATGCCTCAGGGATTGGGATGTTTGTTCTAGCTTGAGCAAGTTTGCCCTTGCTAATTGAATCCTCATTTGCAAAAGTATCCTTTTAATTAGAATTTAAAAAAAAAAAAAAAACCATAAGGAAATGGAAAGAAAGTAAAAAAGCAACTACAACCTCTACTTCTGGTGCTATGGGATAAAGAAATGGACTGCAAGGTCGCTTTGAACAAGGTTGGCAGTTCAAATTCACCAGCCATTCCTTGGAAATCCTATACAGGGTCGCTATGAATCTGAACTGACTCTATGGCACTTAACAACAACTCCCAAAAATATCAGAAAGATTTTCAAGTATCTCCCCATGCAGAATAGTTCCTATAGGACCTTGGTGGTGCTTATGTGTTGTGGAGTCGGTTCCGACTCATAGCAACCCTGTATAGGATTTCCAAGGAATGGCTGGTGAATTTGAACTGCCAACCTTGCTGTAAATCTTTATGGGAGCAGAAAGCCTCATCTTTCTCCTGCAGGACAGCTGGTAGTTTCAAACTACTGCTCATGAGGTTAGCAGTTCAATTCGTAACCACTACGCCACCAGAGCTCCTTTATAGGACCTTAGTTTTATGTAATTTCCAGTTTATTCTAACCATGTTGTTGTTAAGTGCCATTGAGTCAATTCCAACTCATAACACTGTATAGGGTTTCCAAGGAGTGTCTGGTGAGTTTGGACCTCCAATCTTGTAGTTCAAACCGACCTTGAGGTCTAGTGGGTCCCATAGTACCACAGCAGGACTGCCATTCTGACCATACCACCAAATAAATATTCTTAAAATACTAAACCCCTCACTCCATTATTCAAAAGTCTTACTTATTTCCTCATTACCTAGCAAGTGAGTGATGTACTCCTTAGTTGGATATGCAAAATTATCTGCCATCTGTCTGGTAACAGCAAATTGTTAGTAGGTTAGCCTACTATTCCCTATGAACCCTGCAAGTACGAGGGTAACTTTCATGCAGTCCTCCTGACCAAGTCTGTAACTGTCCCTTCCAGCATGCATACAGTAATGCCGCCTTTTCCTCATCTTCATGAATCCTCCCTCTCCTTATTTCAAGACAACCCTTTTCCGGCCACTCCAGCAAAAAGTGAACATTTCCTTTATTGTTTCTATTATTGAAAGAAGAGTTGGCATTTACTGTGTTCCTTCGTAATTATTTCATTTCCTTTTTATTACCCCAGGAGACTAGACTCTGTTCCTCTTGGGCAGGGACTGTGTATTAGAGGTCTTCTAAGTCCTAGTGTGACACTGTGGGTTAATGCACTGGACTGCAAGGTCAGTTTGAACTGCAAGGTCAATGGTTCAAGCTCACTGGCCACTCCTCGGAAACCCTATACAGGGTCACTGTGGGTCAGAACCAATTCAGTGGCACTTAAACAACAACCACCACCTCCAGAGTGACAGACATGATGCCACACACACAATTAAGTAGGTAATAGTTATTTAATGTACATTTGTGCACAAATAGAATATTTAAACAATAAAAATATAAAATTCAAATATAAAAGTAAACTACACCCATCACTCTTAGAAATCTTTAAAGATATACCAGAATGATACGAATCATTAAGATAAACTAAGCTGACTAAAGCCTGAATAAAATGTGATGCTGTTGTTACAATAATAATTGAACAACGTTTATAAGGAAAGTATATACGCGTCACTTCCAAAACATTTTAAGTGTTCAGAATTAATCACTTTTCTGCCATTAAAACTTAAACAAAGAAATATTTGTTTGCTTTGTGGGAGGGGGGGCATTATTCAGCCCTTCCCTTCCCTTTTTCTTTGCCTCTTCTCACCAATGCCACACACACACACACACACACACACACACACACACACACACACACACACATGGATATTGGCTATGTAACAGAGTCTAAAGATAAATGTTGCTTCTCTCTTTTTAAATGTGGTCTATAGAAAAAAAAAAAAAGACTAAATTGAGATATTAATGAATGTTGTAGAGATGTATATTCCCCTGGAGGATAACTAGTATGGTTGAGCGTCATTAATATAAAACATAGCTATAGATGATGTCTTTCTCAGGACGACCTTTTGGAGGACTGTTCAGATTTGCTGGTATTTCTGGTTCTTCTGCTTTGGGTTTTTCTTTCATTTCTGTAATATCAAATAAATAGATTTAAATAGGTTCAATAAATAGTATTGGGACAATTGGAGAAAAAACTATCTCACAGCATGCACAAAACAAATTTTAGATAGATTAAAGGTACAAGCATTAAAATATCATTAATGTTTAAAAGGAATCCCTGGTGTGGCGCTGTAGGATCAGCACTGTACTTTGCACCACAAGATCAGCAGTTCAAACCCACTAGCTGCTTCTTAAAAACCCTATTTAGAGTTACTATAAGGAGCTCTGGTAGCATAGTGATTACGAATCAGGCTGTGAACCGCAAGGTCAGCAGTTCGAAACTACCAGCTGCTCCACAGGAAAAAGATGAGGCTTTCTGCTCCTGTAAATATTTACAGCCTCGGAAACACTGTTCAGGATCGCTATGGGTCAGAACCCACTCGACGGCACTTAACAACAACATTGAGATAACTGGGAATAGCCTGAGGTTGTCAAAAAAGATTGAAAATCACCACTCTGGTAGGAATCTACCTATGTCGGTACTGTGATATATGAAGGGGCTTCAAAAATTCATGGAAAAATTCCATCATCTTTTCATCTCATTTCTCCATGAACATTTTGAAGCCCCCTTGTAAATGGGGAACACCATATTAAGTGGTCTGTCACTGTCTTGTCTTCAACACACAGCCCCTACCTGGAGGAAAAGTGTAAACCTCCTTAGCATCTTCCTGGTGTGCTCTAAGATCCTGGCCTTCAGGTTCACCTGTTTCCTGGTATGGTACTAGGAAGCATTCTTTAGGCCCGTCTTTATTTGTACATGTCTTAGTAGAGAGGTCTTCAGGCCCAGATGTTTCTTGATACATTTCAGGTAAATGTTCTTCAGCTCTAGCTGTTTCTTGGTATACTTCAGGTGAATATTCTTCAGGCTCAGGTGTTTCTTGGTGTATTTCAGGAGAATATTCTTCAGGCTCGGATGTTTTTTGGATCATTTTAGGAGAGGTGACTTTAGGCACAATCATTTCTTGGTATGTTTTATGAGAGAAGTATTCAGGTTCCTTTGTTTCTTGGCATGTTTTTGTAGAAAGGTCTTTAGGCATGGCAATAGCGTGTGTTTTAGGAAACACACTTTTAGTCTCAGCTGTTCCTTGGTCTGGTTCAGAATTCCATTCTTTGGGTTCCACTGGTTTTTTGTCTGTTTCAAGAGGGTAGTCTTTAGGCACATCTGGTTTAGGGTATATTTCAGGAGAGCATCCTTCCAGGCCAGCTGTATTTTCAGATGTTTTAGAAGGAATGGCTATAGGCACAGCTGTTCCTTGGCATGTTTTAGAAGAAAGGTCTTCAGGTTCAATCATATCTTCATACATTCTGGAAGGATGGTCTTGAAGTACCACTACTTCTTGGCCCATTTTAGGAGAGATGTCTTCAGGTTCTGCCATATCTTGGTAGATTCTGGAAGGATGTTCTTGAAGTACCGCTATTTTTTGGCACATTTTAGGAGAGAGATCTTCAGGTTCTGCCATATTTTGGTACCTTCTAGAAGGAGGGTCTTGAAACACAGCTATTTCTTGGCATGTTTTAAAAGAGACATCTTCAGGTTCTGCGATATCTTGGTACATTTTGGAAGGAGGATCTTGAAATACAGCTATTTCTTGGCATGTTTTAGGAGAGACTTCAGGTTCTGCCATATCTTGGTACATTTTGGAAGGAGGGTCTTGAAGTACAGCTACTTCTTGGCATGTTTTAGGACAACAGATGTCTTCAGGTTCTGCCACATCTTGGCACATTCTGGAAGGAGGGTCTTGAAATACAGCTATTTCTGGGCACGTTTTAGGAGAGATGTCTTCTTCGGGTTCTGGCATATATTGGTACATTCTGGAAGGAGGGTCTTGAAGTACAGCTATTTCTTGGCATGTTTTAGGAGCATCGTCTTCAGGTTCCACCGTATCTTGACATGCTTCAGAAGGGTGACTTTGTGCCCCTATTTCTTGGTACTCAGAACAATTTTCTTGATGTATAATGTTGTCTTGACATATTTCAGGTATGCATTCCTTAGCCACTGCTTTTTCTTGAGTGGCTCCAGGAGTGAAGGCTTTGGTTACACACCCAGGAGGATCCGTTTCTTGCTTTGTAGAAGTCAGTGCTTTCACCATCCTTTCTTTTTCTACTTGTGGCTCAGGCTTCATCTTTAGCTTTGTCGCTCGTTGTCTTTTTCTATCTCTTTCATTTTCTTTTTCTGTTCTCTGCCGCTTGCCTTTCTTCTGTTCTCTGTGGAGAGAGATCAGAATTAGTGTCAACAACAGAGATACAGAATTCAAACAACACTTACTAATAGCAGACCTAGGCTTCCCACTGCCTTGTTGCATGACCTTGAACATGTTACTGGATCTCTTGGGTTCAATCTCCTTATTTGTAAAATGAAGAAAACATCACTAGATGTTCTCAGCGGTTAGCAGAGAAAATGTCCCTTTGGGACTTTTTGGCTCTGACGCTTTGCTGACCAGGAAACTTCTTGGTGTGTGTGTGTGTGTGTGTGTGTGTTTTATTGTTGTTGCTGTGTTAAGTGCCATCAAATCAGTTCTGACTCATAGAGACCATGTGTAGGGTTTCCAAAGAGCAGCTAGTGGGTTTGAGCCGCCAACCTTGTGTTTTTGATAGCATATAGTTAAAACTTATAGTTGTTGTCAAGTTGATTCCAACTCATAGTGACCCTTTATAGGGTTTCTGAGGAGCAGCTGGTAGATTTGAACCGCCAACCTTGAGATTCAAACTGACCTTGCAGTCGAGTGCTTATCCTACAGCACCATACCAGGACTCCAATTAAAGTTTAGTTGTGGAAAATTATAGTTTTTGTTATAAATAGATTAATATTCTACAGGAAGCTTAGGGGATAGTGAGTTTATGTTAAGAAACAATTTGGAAAAGAAAGGTAAGAATGTTGCATAACTTGAAGAATGTCACTTAATTGCACATGTATTCAGCATGTACATATAAAACCTGTTCAATTGGTATATATTTTGCTGTGTATATTTTCAACAGCTAGTAAAATTTATTATTTTTAAAATAAACCAGCATTCTGGGTTTATACACTAATCTCTTTAGGTTTAATCTGTGTGAGTTAGCCCATTATCCACTGGGTCAATTGTTAAAAATCAAGAGTTTCTAGATCTACAAAGCTGCAGACACCCCCAGGCATGACGCCTGTTTGTGCAGCCTACAGGTAGATGAAGCATATAGCTTGTTTATCTTTTACCCAGTCTCATGTAAAGATTTCTGATTCTCTATGTTATTAAGTGCTGCCAAGTTGGTTCAAACTCAGCGACCCTTTATAGGGTTTACAAAGAGCAACTGGTGGGTTTGAACTGCCAACCTTCTAGTTAGCAGTCGGACTCCAATGAACTATCGTATATATCAATCATGTGTGCTTTACACTGTGTCAAAAGCTGCAAACACTTCTCTTTAGGTTAAGAAGCCTATACAAAGGCCTGAGCAGTCATATCATACCTCTTCCTCATTAATAGCTAGATGATGGAGCTAAAACATGAAAGGATATGTATGGGAATTGCAGCCAGTGAGAGTGTGTTGTTGTTGTTGTGTGCCATGGAGTCAGTTTCAACTCATAGCGACCCTGTACAGGGTTTCCGAGGCTGCAAATCTTTACAGGAGCAGAAAGCCTCATCTTTTCTCCCATGGAGCAGCTGGTAGTTTCGAACTGCTGACCTGAAGGTTTGAAGCCCAATTCGTAACCACTAAGCTACCAGAGCTCCAAGTGGGAGCGTATTAGGCACTATAAATATAACCAAATATAGATGGTTAATACAGATGGGCTCAAGGGGGGGAGGTAGATACTATAATTAAGCATTTCATCATTTTTTAAAGCCTATTAAAATTCTGCTCCATGCAACCTGCTCCTGCGAGCCTTCTCTAACCCGCTACCTGGCTGCAAGGCTCTTCCTGCCCAGCACTCCTAGCGACTTTGTTATGAGGAGCCTGCTTAAGGTGAGGAATACTTTCTAGATCCTTATAGTGCTCATAGATTCTTACACGTTTTTAAAAAATATGTCTACACTGTACTAGGAGTCCTGGTGTGGTGCTGTGGGTTAATGCTCCAGACTGCAAAGCCGTTTGAACTGCAAGGTCGGCGGTTCAAGCTCACCAGTTGCTCCTCAGAAACCCTATACAGGGTCGCTATGCGTAGGCACCGACTCAACGGCACTTCACAATAACCCTGTACTAATTTTGTGTATGCTTAAAATGTTCAATAGAGAATTTAAAAAAAGATTACCTCAATAGCAAAAAGTGTGTGTGTGTGTTATTGTTGTTAAGTGCTGCTGAGTTGGTTCTGTATAGGGTTTCCAAGGAGGGTTTTAACCACTGACCTTGCAATTCAATCTTATCTTGCGGTCCAGTGCTTATCTTACAATGCCATAGGAGGACTCCATATATATGTGTGTGTCTGTGTGTGTTATCTGTTGTTAAATGCTGTCAAGTCAGTTTCAACTCATAACAACTCTGTATAGGGTTTCCCGGGAGCGGCTGGTGGGTTTGAACCAGCAATCTTGCAGTTAGCAGTCCACTGCTTATCCTACAGCACCATACCAGGACTCCATATTAGGACAGTTAAAAATAAATATCAAAATCATACAGAAGGAGGTGGAGGATGGTTATGGCACCTCAATATCTTATAACTCTGAGCAACCATGGCAACAAGATGAATCCTAGTTTTTATTGTCAGACTAAAACAAAACAAAACAATGGTAGACCTGAACTCTTCAGGAAATGTATTTTAGATACTAAGTCTCAACCCATTTTAATGGAGATCTCTAGATAAGGGAATCTGAGCAATACAATGTACATGTCTTCCCTGTTAGCTTTTTGAGAGATAGACACACATGCATGTGGCTTAGACTTTAGACTGTGCTCTGACACCTATTAACTACCTAATTGTCAGCAAGTCACTTAGACTTAGTTTCCTCATATGTAAAATGGAGGAAATATCTGCCCAGCATCATACGATTGTTCAAAGAGTTAAATTTAACAATTTACATGAGTGAATTATCCAAATGAAAAATGGACCAATAAATAACATCATGATAAATGGAATATTTCATACTTCAGACACATTGTCAGGAGGGACCAGTTGCTGGAGAAGGATATCATGTTTGGTAAGGTGGAGGGTCAGAGAAAAAGAGGAAGACCCCCCAGTGAGATGGATTGGCCAAGTGGAAGCATCAATGGGCTCAAGCATGGCACAATTGTGATGTTGACCCAGGACCAGGCAGTGTTTCAATCTGTTGTGCATAGGGTTGCTATGAATACCACCTAACAACAACAACAAGACTTCATTTTTCTTGGATCCACAATGAACGCTTATGGAAACAGCAGTCAAGAAATCAAATGACATATTACAATAGGCAAATCTGCTGCACAAGACAAGACTGCAGATTTTTAAGTGTTCAAGAGCAAAGGTATCAATCTGAGAACTAAGGTGATTCAAGCCATGGCATTTCCAATTGCCTCAGATGCATGTGAAATTTGGGCAATGAATAAGGTAGACATGATAGAAGAATTGATGCATTTGAGCTACAGTGTTGGAGAGGAATATTGAGAGAACCATGGACTGCCAGAAGAACAGGCAAATCTGTGTTGGAGAAAGTACAGCCAGAATGCTCCTTAGAAGTCAGGATGGCAAGACTTTGTCTCTTATAACTGGGACATATTATCAGGAGGGACCAGTCCCTGGAGAAGGATATTATACTTGTAAGGTGAAGGGTCAGCGAACAAGAGGAAGACCCCCAATGAGATAGACTGGCAAGCATAGGAACCATTGTGAGGATGGCATAGGACTGGGCAGTGTTTCCTTCTTTTGTGAACAGGGTTGCTATGAATCAAAACCAACTCAACAGCACCCAACAACGACGACGATAGTAAAAGGAAGCACAGTGTTCCTATGTGCCAGGGATTGTTACAATTATTTACTGCTGCTTTCTCATATAATCTTCACATAAACCTCTAACGTGGATAGTGTTGTTATTTGCATTTTGAAGGTGACAAAACTGAAGCAGAGGAAGTTGGGGAGCCAGAGTTTGAATCTAGTCACCCAAGCTTTAGCAGCATAATTACTACTTTTCCTCTGGGACTAAGCTTCCATTGTATACAGTGTGTAGTCGTAAGAAAAGAGGAGATCACCTTCTCCTCACTCATCAAAATGGTTAGGTTCCAAAGACCAGGTTGTTACGTGAAAATCGATGTTATTTGAAAAAAGGAGGATGATCTCATCAGATCACAAAACGGATAATGACTGCATCATTGAGTAGTTGTCAAATTACATCATCACATAGGCAACAAACCACTGAGAATCATGGCCCAGCCAAATGGACACAGCCAGCGCTACTCTCACCTTACACCTTGGCATGCATTACTTACTGCCAGACTTACATTGGGAATGTGCACAATAGTTGGGTGGTAGCTTCTTAACTGTAGTCATTAATACAAAATGTTGGACCAGACTGTCAATAAGTGAGAAGTAAGTGTACAATCCTCAGTAGTATAGAGGTGAGTCACCAAAGCAAAAGTAGCCAGCTGCCAAGAGGCTCTTCTCCAAGGCATTATCTCCCTTGGTGAATGTCTCAGTATTGTCCCCTCAGCCCAGCAAGTTCAGAACCCCGATTCTGTCAGTACATTGGGCCTAGCTCCATTTCCCAGGGGCTTAGCACATCAGGCAGGCTCAAAGAGACTGAATGCAAACGAAAGCCCAATGTTTAAATTCACAGTGAGAAATACAAAGTTACCCAGAAGAAATACTTGGGATGGAAAATTAAAGCACCTTTTCCCTGTAGGCAAGTATGGGAAACCCGGCAATGATTCTAGGTTACTTGGTGGGTATGGAATTAGGGGAACTAATTGGATAATCTTCAAAATAGTCACCTGCCACAGGGCCACAGTATAGGATTTTCTGTTCTAACATGATATATGCAATTCCTAAAAAAAAAAAAAACAAACCTCACATTTTGCAAAATCATGAACTGTCTAATTAACAGTAGTTATGGGGAGGGGAAGATATGGTTGGGGCAAAGGACTCAAAAGCTGTGCAACTTTTTTATACTAACAGAAAACAATTGTTGATTCGGACAGAGATAACTTGGATAGTACAGCCAGGTAAGAATGACTGGAGGCTGCTTCAGAGGATAGGAAAAATACACAAAAGCAATAGATGCTGAAAGCGTGCAAACAAGAGTGGTGCTCTGAGTCCGTGGAGCGACTGTTAGCTGGGCATAGGAGGAAGTACAGCTTGCCACATGCAGACAGCTGTACAAGGCGGCAGCACTGAGTCTCTCTGGAGAGGAAGCTCTGGACGCAGACATTCATTTTCAATTTGCATAAAGCACCAAGAAAAGGATCTTGCTTATTTACACACTGTAAGCCATGCTGACAGCCTTTTTCTTTCCTGTTGAAGCTTTTAATTCTCTTCTCCTATTCTGGCTGCTCCCCTTGATTAGGAAAACTCATGAGCCAACATCACTACCACATTATACTGACATCTTTCTCCTATTTGTCAATCATATGTGAGCTAAAGGAACCATGGTAGCACAGTGGTTAAGTGTCTGACTGCTAACCAAAGGTTGGCAGTTCAAACCCACCAGCTGCTCTACAGGAGGAAGATGTGGCTGCCTACTTCCATAAAGATTTACAGCCTTGGAAACCCTATGGTTCGGTTCTACTCTGAGTTGGAATCAGCTTTATGACATTGAGTTTATGGAGCTAACTGGTGGTGTAGAAAAATGCGTTAGTGCGGAGCACTTTGTTAAAGCTTTACAGATGGTCTTCAATTCACAGCGGGCAGAACCCCTGAGATGATTTTGCCCCCTAGGGGATATTTGCCAATGTCTGGACACCTTTAATTGCCACAACTGGAGGGCATAGTGGCAATTAAGAGAGTAGAAGCCAGAGACATTGCTAAACAACAATGCACAGGATGGTCCCCCACAACAAAAAATTACAGTGCCCACAATGAAGAGGTTGAGAAACCCTGGCTCAGATGGAAGCTGCACTTTTGACTCCTTCAGCTCCCTTTTCTATCTTCAAGCAAGCCACTGTTTTCAGTTTCATACTCTAAATGGATGTAATTAGGTGCCTGCTGGATTTATACTCATATTCTGTACTCCCTCCCTGAGATTACATATGGGGGACAGATGGGAAATTTAGGGCTCCCCAATTCTCCTGTCACTCATTTACAGACATTGTTTTGGCTTTCTCCATGGAGAGTTTATCACACTCATATAATAAGGAAGTTACAAATAGAAAGACCGGAGTCCTGATGCGGCGCTGTAGGATAAGTGCTGCACTGCTTACCATAAGGCTGGTGGTTCAAACCCATCGACACCTCTCAGAAATCCTACACAAGGTCACTATGAGTCAGAACTCCACCACACTTAACAACAACAAAAGAACACTTACAGAACCCTCAATGATGTCCTCCACTCCCAACAGCACGATGCTTACACGTTTCTATGACCAGAGTAGCTGAACACTATGCTTCTCAAAAACATAAATCAATTACCTAGAGTTTAATTTAAAAAGACCAGGGATACAATTCAGTTCCCCCCATTTAACTAGCTATGTGACCTGAGACAGGAAATTTCACCCATTGGAGACTCAGTTTCACTTTGAAGTAAAATAGAGATTGCAGTGCCTGATTTCCATGGAGACTGTAGGAAACCTAGTCTATATGGCATGTAGTATAGAATCAGTAAATACTGGTTCCTTTCCCTTGCAGTGATACCATACCCAAATAGCCACTGTGAAGTCTGTTTTTCTTGTACTTCAGCTTTTCTTTTTTTGAGTTGTTCCCGATTTCGCAAGCTCCATGTTCCAACGATTTCTGTAGGACCAAAATGAAAGTTATAGGAAAAAGTAATGAATTATAGCACGTATCAGTAAAAGATGGAATCCTAGTGTGGTGCTGTAGGATAAGCACTGGACTGCTAACCATGAGGTCCAAGGTTCAAACCCACAAGCTTCTCCTCAGAAACCCTATACAGGGGCTCTGAATGGGATGTGACTTGAAGGTATTTAGCAACAACAATCCCACCTTTAAACCTCTTACTGGAGTACTGATGTGGCAGTATAGGATAAGCACTGGACTGCTAACCACAAAATCAATAGTTCAAACCCACCAGTTACTCCTTGGAAACCCTACACAGGTGGGTTGCTATGAGCTGGAACTGATTTGATGGCACTTAACAACCACAAACCTAACATCATATCAAATATTTTCTATAGTATAGTCTTTATAATTACAATTTTAATGACTATTAGTAGTGGTGGTGATTCTGTATAACACGGGTGGGGAACATCTGGTCCAAAGGCCATATTTATTGTTGTTATGTGCCATCAAGTCGGTTCCAACCTATAGTAACCCTGTATAGGGTTTCCGAGGAGCAGCTGGTATCTGACCTTGTGGTTCAAACTGACTTTGTAGTCCAGCACATTAACCCACAGCACCACACCCAGACTCCAGCCATCACATTGGTGGTGGTGGTCATAGTGTGCTGTGGAGTCGGTTCCAACTCATAGCGACCCTGCACAGAATTTCCAAGGCTGTAAATCTTTATGAGAGCAGAAAGCCTCATCTTTCTCCTGCGGAACTGCCGTTAGTTTTGAACTGCTGACCGTGAGGTTAGTAGCCCAACTTGTAACCACTACACTACCAGAGCTCCTTGGCCATCACATTGTTGTTGTTGTTGTTGTTAAGTGCCCTCGAGTCAACCCATAGTGGCCCTGTATAGGGTTTCCAAGGAGCATCTGGTAAGTTTGAACCACCGACCTTACAGTTCAAACAACTTTGCAGCCATCACATTAGGAGTGAGCTAATTAAACATTTGACCAAATATAACATGCTAATTTTAAGGTGATAATTTTGTATAGCCTGCCAATGATGTTCTAAATTTTGACAGAAAAAAGGTCCCTCACCCCTGCTGTAAAGGGTTTCCGAGGCCATCAATCTTTATGGAAGCAGAAAGCTTCATTTTTCCCTGAAGGGCAGCTGGTGGATTTGAACTGGCTGACCCTGCAGCTAGCAGCCCATCATATAATCCACTACACTACCAGGGTTCCTTTTTAAATGACTACATGATACTTAATCAAGTTGATGTATTATCATTTACCTAAACATTTGACTGGTGTGAGTCTGTAGAATAAGCACTGGACTTCTAACCAGTAGGTCAGCAGTTTAAACCCACCAGGCACTCCTTGTAAATCCTATAAAGCATCAATATGAGTTGGACTGACTCGACCGTTTGACTGGTATGAACCACACCTAGACTCCACCAGCAGTTAGGTTGTTAAAAATAATATGCCAGATGTTTTCTGCTATGGTAGGTCAAACTGTAAGAAGCATATTCAGGTATATAACTTTTTCTTTCTTTTGGGTTGTTTCCTTAGTATTTTTCCAAGTTCTTTAAAATATTAAAAGTTATTTTCGAAAAAGGTTTTGTTGTCATGCAGGTTTGAGGAAAGTTACTGGGTCTTTGACGTAGAATTACGTGAACCTTTACTCTGTAAATCTGCACTGTGGCCCCAGAAGAAGAAAGGGCATGCAGCACAACCAGGGCGCCCTTTATTTTTAGGACACCCCACCAGATACCATTGAGCTCGCTCCAATGGATGGGACCCCATGTATCAGACTAGAACTACACCCGTGGGTTTCAATGGCTGGCTTTTCAGGAGATCACCAGGCCTTTCTTCCTCTGGACCCAAGCTTACAACCTTACATTGACACATTAATCATTTGCATCACCAAAGGATTCCTATTCTTGGGACAGGGGTTCCTAATGATGAACTTCGATGGGAAAAAAAATTATACCTCAATTTTTACCAATCTTTAATTAAAACGACCATCTCCTTTGATTATGAACATAGGCAACAAACTATGTTGGTTTTAGCAGCACATGTGACTTTGTCACCAAATGAAGTCACAGACTTGATCTTCCTATCACATTATAGTTGTTGCAGATACCTCAAAATATCATTTATGCACATCACTCCTATGGTCACTCGACCCAGCACTGAATCTTGAGTCCTGGTGTGGTGCTATTAGATAAGCACTCGACCATAAGGTCACTTTGAACCACAAGGTCAGCAGTTCAAAGTCACCAGTCACTCCCTGGAAACCCTATACAGAGTCGCTAAGAGTCAGAACCAACTCGATGGCATTTAACAATAACAACAACAGCAATATATCTATAAAGACAGCTGTTACTGTATCACAAGCTTTTTGATAACTTTATTCTAATGTACTTGTCTTCCTTTGTAATCCTATGTATTTAATCTTTCCCCCAAATGTGTCTTCTGTAGTGTTCATAAGAGTTCCACGCAGCAGTATAGAGATGTATGTAGCTAACGAGACACAGCATTCTGGTTCTGATTCAGGCTTATGCCTTACGTTTTTCATCATTTACTGAAAAATGGTATTTCAAAGTTACATTTTAATGAGAAAAAATATAGAATGCTTCATGAATTTGTATGTCATCCTTGTACCAGGGACATTCTAATCTTCTCTATACCATGCCAATTTTAGCCTATGTGCTGCCCAAGTAGACATTTCTATGTATTTAATTCTGTATATTTCAACATTTTATTCTAAGTAGGGGTATATAGGGTTCATCAGCATGGCCCAAAAAGTTCGAAAGTGCTTTCTTAGCATTTCAAGGCCTAGGATTCTGCAAAACATTTTGATAAATGCTGTTCTAGGATAGATCCAAGGAGTGGAATTTATGAGTCAAAAAAGTAAGCACTATTATCATTCTTGCTACTCATTGCCACATCTCTTTCCAAAAGTTATGCCAAATTTATGCTACCATGGGAGCATATGGGTGTATTTGTTTTATCATAAGCATCAAGTGTGGGGTACTTCCATTATCTTTTGTTTTAATACACTTATGATTAACCATTTATTTATTACTACCTTGTGCTTCTCTGGCTTATTAGAATCTTAGTGATAGAAAGTCCCTCAGGAAGTTACACAATCCCAGTTCTTCCCACCTAAAGTTAACGAATTTACTCAATTATATATATTTTTTTTTCTGGCTAGATTCATAAAGAACAGGCAACAGTAATCATAACGTCAATTTTTCCCTATAGCCACCCTCTTAAGGTACACTCATTACCTGGAGTGCGGTTCTCTTGATGCGGATCATGTGTCTGACGGGGCTTCCTGTGAGATTGATGCTTTCCTCGATCCATCTTCCTGCAAGACCTTCCTGCTATTTACTCTGACTTCCACAAGCAGCCCACGAGCTTTTAAAAAAATATCAAAAGTAACTAACACTTAAACATACATACACACACAAGTTCACTTGTCACTTGACTTCCCGCCTAAAAGGTTTATCTGGTTGAACCACAGCTGCAGGCTAATTCTACTTTCTTTATCACCCTGCACAGGTGTGAGAAGGGGGCAAATGGCTAGAGCTAGGTCCTCATCCTCTAAGAATGTTGTTGTTACATGCTGTTGAGTCAGTTCTGACTCATAGGGACCCTGTATAGGGTTTCCAAGGAGATGGTGGGTTTGAACCACTGGCCCTGTGTTTAGTAGTCCAGTGCTTATCCTACAGCATCTCATCAGGACTCTAAGAAATAGGGTGACTTACATTTTAAAAGGCAGCCACTCTGGTTACAGCCTAGGTGGTCCAGTCCTCTTGGTTCTGCCACAAAGTATGGGGTCAGATGTCCTTGTTTACTGATGGGAGTGGCATGGTGTGGAAAGGGCATGGAGTCCAGATTCTCACCAGCTAGTGGCCTTCCCTTTGTCTGGCTGTGCAATGTGGGCAAAGCTTTCTTGTCTTGCTTATTTCATACAGTTCTTGTGAAAGTGACAATCATGGGTGTGGAATGTGCACTGGGCTAAGAGTCGGAACCGACTCCACAGCACATCACCACTACTACCATACAGAAGTGAAATTCTTGGATACTGTTGCATTTTTCACCTTTGTGTTGCAAATTAATGTTGTCTTATCATATATGCTCTTATACTTGAATGAAACATACTGACAAAACCCAAATTAGAAATTCAAAGCACATTTGAACCCTCTTTTGCTCACCCAATCATTTACAGGAGACCGACAATAACTAAAGACAACCACTGTTACTCAACTAGGAGAAGATCAAAAGCATTTATTTCTCAGTGAAAGCATCACCATGTTATATCATGAAATTAAGTTGAAATCACAGGAACTATCCCATTTTCAGACTGGTTGCCCTGTTTGTGAAGACAAAGAGGCACAGGGGACCAGGATTCTACTAAGGAAGAAGCATTGAGCCCCTCCTAACACTGGCAGTCTGGGAGGCACAGAGTTAGGCAAAGTGCCCTGAATTAAAGAGAGTTTGAATTCTAGTGTGGCCTATTCCTAATTCTGTGGCCTTGGGCAAATTCAATGTCTTAGGAACAATATTTTGGTATTTATTTCTTGGGGTTATTGGGATGATCAATTCAGATCCTCCCTATAAGGCATTTTACATGTGCCTGGGATATTGACTTTTCAGCGCCTGAAATATTGCACTAGCTCAATAACTGTTCATTGCTTTTATTAACAATCAAAGCATAATAACTATTCTTTATGTACCATTTTTTCTGAAAGTTGTTTGGAAAGCAGATGAGTAAACCAAATCATACTTGAGATGCAGTAAAGAATCCTTATAAAGAGGAGCTCTTTGATAATGTGAATAGGCTCCTCTGCTTTTATAAGACCACAAAACTGGAAGAGACCTGATGTTACACCATAGGATCAGCACTGGGCTGCTAACCCCCAGAGGTCAGCAGTTCAAACCCATCAGCCACTCCTTGGAAACTTTATGCAGGGTCACTATGAGTCAGAATTGATTTGATGGCACTCAACAACAACATGTAACTGGAAGGGGCCCAAACCATCTATTCCCTTTCCTTGTTTTATGTATGATGACAATGGGCATCTAGGAGGAGAGTTGACTCCTCCCGTATTTTCATCATTATTGCTGGCTTAGCACCTCTAATTAATAATAACATGGGTCTTTTGATAATTGATCTTGCTGTGTATGAAAATGCATGTGTGGTGTGATTTATGTGATAAACAAGTTCTTCAAACAGACCAAAGTATTGAGAATTAAGTAACAAACACCCAAGTACCCACCACATAAATTTAACTTGATTTGTAGTAATCAGGAGTTAGTACTTTAAGTTTCTCAGTTCCCCAGTCTTTCTCTTAAATAAATTTCTATCTAAAATTTATATAATCTTGTTATTATTAAGTGCCATCGAGTTGGGTTTCCAAGGAGCACTTGGTGAGCTTGAACCACCAAACTTGCAGTTCAAACAGCTTTACAGGCTGGTGCATTAACCCACAGTGCCATACCAAGACTCCAGATCACCTTGGGGAACCCCTTATTTAAAACAGAAACTTGCTGCTCCCGCAAAGATTTAACAGCCTCGGGGAGCCCGACACAGGGTGGCTATGAGTTGGAACCAACTCAACAGCACTTAGCAACAACATAAGGGATGGAAGATGTCTTTGTAATCATTTCTCAATAATTCTGAATTTTCAGGTATGGAATTTAAATTTTTGGATCATAACAAAGTATCAATAGCATTACCAAGAATGAGAATCCCAGCATACTTAATTGTACTCATGCAGAACCTATACATAAAAACCAACAGGTAGTCCTTCAGGAGAGGTGTGCATCAGAGTTGTTGTTGTTAAGTGCCATGGAGTCAGTTTTGACCCATAGTGACCCTGTATAGGGTTTCTGAAGAGCAGCTGATGAGCTTGAACCACTGATCTTACGGTTCAAACTGACTTAACAGTCTAGCACAGTAACCCACAACAACACAACAGGACTCCATCAGAGTTGTATCCTTTTATTATACTTATTCAACCTGTATACTGAGCATACAGTTCACAAGTTGGACTATATGAAGAACACAGCTTCAGGATTGAAGGAAGACTTGGTGACCATCTGTGAAATGCAGATGACACAACCTTGTTTGCTTAAAGAGAACTTGAAGCACTTATTGATGAAGATTAAAGCCTTCAGTACAAATTACACCTCAACATAAAGAAAACAAAATTCTTCAAACTGAACCAATAAGCAGCATCATAATAAAAAGAGAAAAGATTGAAATTGTCAAATATTTCATTTACTTGGATTCACAATCAACACCATTGGAAGCAGCAGTCAAGACATCAAATGACATATTGAATGGGCAGATCTGCTGTAAAAGACTTCTTTAAAAAAAAAAAAAAGCAAAGATGTTACTTTCAAGGACTAGGATGCAAACTAACCCAAGCCACAGTACAAAGGTGAGTCAAAAGTTACCTGCGCTCTGGCTGTAGAATTTATTTAAATCAATTTTTAGAAAAGACAAATACATCATTTTTCAAAATAATCTCCTTACTTTTCAGTACACTTTGACCATCTTTCAACAAGCTTTCGTATTCCCTATCTCTGCATCTCTTATTTGCTTAATATCTTTTATATCTCAAAAGAGATTGATTTAAGACATACCCTACATTAATCCTGTCTCATTAACATAAAATAGACAACCCCTTCTTGAATGGAATAATAATCACACGCATAGAGGTCTTGTGGCACGGTAAGGTAAGCACTGGACTGCTAACCACAAGGTCAGTGGTTCAAACTCACCAGTCACTCCTTGGAAACTCTAGACAGGTGGCTATGACTCAACTACACTTTGGACCTTCAAAGTCAGTAGTTCAAACTCACCAATCGCTCCTCAGAAAGCCTTATACAGGGTTGCTGTGAATCAGAATGGACTCAACAGAACTTAACAACAATAAAAAGCCAGATGAACAGGGTCCTAGGTGTGACACTGTAGGGTAAGCACTGAATTGCTAACTGATAGGTTGACAGTTCAAAGTCATCAGCTGATCCTCAAAAACCCTATACAGGGCTGCTGTGAGTCAGAATCGACACAATGACACTTAACAGAAGTGACAATGGTGAGACTTTGTCTAATGTACTTTAGACATGATATCAGGAGGGACCAGTTCCTGAAGAAGGACACCAGGCTTGGTAAAGTCAGCCAAAAAGAGGAAGACCCTCAACGACATTGACTGACATCACAGCCGCAACAGTGGGCCCCAGCGTAGCAACAATTGTGAGGCAGGAGGAGGACTCGGTAGGGGCTCATCCTTTTGGACACAGAGTTGCTATGAGTCAGAACCTAACAAGAAGTTTAAAGACATCAAATTTTGATTAAAGTACCTTTGAAAAAGTATAACATAGTGGGTTGGGTTCTTTTTGTAATTTATGTAAACTGGCCTTTCAAAAGTTGGTTCCTTTCTGCCCTCCGCGCCCCCCCCCCCAATGTTTTCATTCTTACTAGTAAGGTTGTTTGTTACTTTATGATAACTCAGTAAAACAACCTTACAGAATCTCACTGGGGCATCTTACAGAGGGTGCAGCGATAACTTCTTATATGGGATTATACTAAATCGGTGCTCACAGCATCCAGTTTACTAGTTCAGCAAACTTCACTGCGTGTTCATTCTATCACACCCTGGGCAAGTCCGTGAGACTATCTGAGAACGCAGTAGATGCAACCCCTGAGCTCTATGCCCTGTAGGCTCGTAGAGGAGAGAGATACACAAATACTTATAATAAGGAAACAATATTCACATTCTTTTTTTCTTTTAACTAAGGAAACAATATTTAGATCCTTTACACTCTGCTCCAACTTTCCTAAATCGATTCCACCCCTGCCCCCATGCTCCCTGTATGTGAAAGCAGGATTACAAGATTACAAGAGGGTGGAGTCTCGCATTGACAGTAATTAAAGATCAATGCTGGGTGGAGGAAACCAGTGGAGGGACTTTGGAACCAACTAGATTGGACACCAGGCAAGGTGTCTCGGGTGTGATAAGCAGGCCAGAGTGGGAACATGTCTGGCATGGAAATAGCCCCCAAGTAACTGTACAAGCCCTGGTCTACTAGGCTCTAGAGTTATCACCTGAATGTGAAGTGTTAAGGCACTGAAGGGTGGGTATTTTAATACATGCTGCCTTGTTCTAGGGTTATTTTCACATGAAACCTCCTTCTAGACCACCAGCTCTTACAGCAGTGACCACGTTTATTTCTTCTTTCTATCTCTGGAGTTTGATCTAGCAGAAGGCCAGGCACACTAAACTCATGAGTGCCTTTGCTACCTGGGTGCTGAGCCAGCTTCCTGGACAAGCAGTTTCATCAAAGTACTT